CATTCCTCTTGTCAACAATACCCCCCAAAATAGAAACCCAATGTACCTCTTCGACCCTCCATACACCTCTTTCTTTCGCCCCCCCTCCAACTTCCCTTCTTCCCTCCATCCTTCCCCTCTACCCTACTTCCCCATTTCCCATTACAGAGGGGCAGGATAGAGGCAGGGCACTCAAAGTATTCCGGCCCCCTTCGCCTTTGTCAATCTTGTTAGGCTGCAGCCTCATTCTACAGTTGTTGAAATCCATTTTTTCCTCATTAATCCACACTCCGTACCGCCTAGACAAAGTGAAAACAGAATTTTACAAATGTCTGTAAAACTTACTAAAAAGAAAAAAAACCTGAAATATCACAGTGGCCTAAGTACTCAGACCCTTCACTCGGCACTTTGTTGAAGAAATCTTTGGCAGCAATTACAGCCTCCAGCCGTTTTGGGTATGACGGGACAAGCTTTGCACACCTGAATTGGGGGGTTTTCTGCCAATCTTTGCAAATCCTCTCAGATTACATGGCGACCATTGGTGGGTGGCCATTTTCTGTCCCTCCAGAGATGTTCCATAGGGTTCAGGTCAGGGCTCTGGCTGGCCCACTCTAAGACGTTGACGGGTGTCCCTAAGCCACTCCTGGGCTCTCTCGGCTGTGTGCTTGGGATCCTCATATTCAAAAGTGACCCTCTGAAGCCCTCAGTACTTTGCTGCTTTTAGCTTTCCCTCAGTCCTGACCAGCCCCTCAGCCCGTTGCTGAAAAACACCCCCACAGCATGATGAGGCTGCCACCGCCATGCTTCACTGTTGGACTGATATTGGGCAGGTGATGAGCGATGCCTGGTTTCCTCCAGACGTAACGTTTAGAATTGAGGCCAAACAGTTCAGCCTTGCTTTCATCGGACCAGAGAATCTTGTCCTTCACAGTCTGAGGGTCCTCCAGGTGCTTTTTTGCAAAGTCCAAGTGCAAACTCCTTTCATGTATTTTGCACCGAGGAGAGGCTTCCCTCCAGCCACTCTGCCATAAAGCCCAGATGGCTACAGTGATGGTTGTCCTTCTGGAGTTCTGTCCCATCTCCACCCAGGATCTCTGGAGCTCGGTCAGAGTGACTTCAGTTGTTGGTCACCTTTTACTAAGGACCTTCTCCCGCAATTGCTGAGTTTGATTGAATGGCCGGCTCTTGGAAGAATCCTCGTTGTGCCAAACATCTTCCGTTTCAGAATTATGGAGGCCACTGTGCTCTTAACAACCCTCAGTGCAGCAGAAATTTCATTGTGGCATTCTCCGGATCTGTGCCTTGCAATAATCCTGTCTCTGAGCTCTGCAGGCAGTTCTTCCAGTTTCTATATGAACTCTGGTGTCTGCCTGAGCTTACCCAGAGGGCACTTAATGTGGCACTGCCTGGATGCAGGTCTGCCCAAGGGGATGAGGATCCATCATATTTAGTTGTGAGAATTTTCTGCCAGGAGACTTTGTCCTGCTGGCATTGACGGGCAGGCAGGTGGAATGTGCCTTTTGGTACAATAGGGTAGAGTGGAAGTCAGCACAAGGTGAGCTATCCCTCCCCCCCCTTCCTCCCAAATGCTCTTAGGAAGGGGATCTGATTGCTCAAGAGATACTTCTGAAATGGAGACTGATCGGTCTGGGCAAAGGAAGATCAGAGCACTTTCGGCAAGGGAGCCTACTTGCTAGTTAGGACTTAACCCAGCAGCAGCCGGGCGTCTAAAGCAGGGTCTCCCAAAATATCTCAGAGTTTTTGCTCTTCCATATTTGGAGATTGTTCCATTGGCGATCCCGGAGGTGGATATAAGAAACTTCCCCATCAGGAATGACTGCCCACTGGGGGACAGAGCTGTGGAAGTTCTTGCCTGTGAAATTTTGTACTGTGGTGTCACTCATAGACCTGTGATGTGCAAAATTCCAGATGCTCCAGATGGCATCTGTCTAAAATATTTTCTTGAAGAAAAGTATTCAAAAAATCAGCTGGCAAATGGAAAAAATACTAACGGCATGTTGAAGACAGAGGAGCATCAAATGTAGCATGATAACGATTTTAGGAAGGTGTTTATCAACAATGATGCATTGTAATAAATGTATTGAAAGGGTATAGATCTTCCCAATCAACAGGTCTTAAGTATTCCAGGATTTCAAATTTTAAACATCTAGTAATATATTAAAATACTGATACATTAAAATAGTATTTAAGGATCTAAGCATTATGGTAAATCAAGCATTTTATAGATCCAGTGTCTTATCAAGTTACTTGAATCGTTTTTCGATTGATATATTTTGGCTATTTTTCTACTTCCAGTTGTCTTACAGCGTATTGTTTTATCATCCTACAGAAACTTTTTGTACTTTGATGTAGATGTGTTTTATTCGTCATTGAGTCCCATAAAGGCCATTCACTTTCATTCCTTCACGCAGTGGTAGGGCACTGTGTGGCAAACGGCTACAGCTGCCTTTTCTTTGGGTGCAGCCAAGGCAGGCCTGCACAAAGGGCCACCGGGAGCATTTCTTGCTAACATGGTTACAAAAATTCTAGAAGGATTAGTTTGGATAGAGGGGAAACACGGGAAAGAGACAGACAACCTCTTTTCACTTCAGTCTTTACTTGCAACATGCCCTGATGTAAAAGAGTCATTTCAAAGCCAAGTGAAAAATGCATGTTAAAACAAGCAGAATTCCGATTTCCTGAAATCTGGGCTTTGTGCTCTGAAGCGCTCTCCGTTCCCCAGATGGTGAAGTCACCAACTGGATCATCCGAGCCTGTCGCCCTAGAAGACAAAGCAGAAGTATTACGAATAATCACACAATGGATCAACACGGTGCAGAAGGGCAAAAACAGCTGGGGGGGTGTCAGTGGGGGCAAAAGGGCCTGAGCGAGGGGGCTTGGCCAAGAGAGGTCCGAGCCTGGACAGCCGTCCTCGTGGACAGTCACAGGAATCAGTGAGCAGGTTGAAGAGGAGGTGGTTCCTTCTGCTGCTCTGACAGAGGCCTGGCATTTTGCTCCTCTGCTGGGCATCGTCTCTCTGTGAGAGGAAGACCGCTGGCTGCCCTTCTGCCCTTTCTGATGGGAGCCCCAAAGGTGGTCTCTGCCCCTCCCCCACGGGCAGAAGTCTTGCGAGGATGGAGAAGTACAGGCCTTCCTCCAGAGGGAACAGCACATCTGGAGTTTCTGGAGCTTGTACTGGGCACACTCACAACATGGCTGTCCTGACACAAAGCTCCATGGCTCGAAGGAGCAAGGTTGCCTCTGTGCCCCTGGGAGGCCTTCTGCCCCCTGGGCCAACCGCTCCCCTTTTGGCCTGGGAAAGTCCATCCCTTTCGCTGGTTGGTGGGGGTGGGAGGCCTGTCCCAGGAGCATTCAGAAAAACAAGGATTCTGCAGGAGACTCGCCACTGCTCCTGGGCTGGATCAGAACCCAAAACAATTTCCTCCTGACTGGCAAGAAACCACCCAGAAAGCAGCACCCTTTTTCCTCCTTGCCCCCTCTGGTGAGAGGCAGCCAGGATCAAGTTGTGGCAGGCATGTCCTGCCCCTGCACCCCCCCCAGCCCTGGGCCCAGATGTTTCCCAACTGGAGGAACTTTCCCAGCTCAGCACAGGCCAGGAGGGAAGGTGCAGCCACGTTCCCTCTACCTCCCTGGGCTCTGTGGGTGAGCCCAGCCCTTCCCTCCCAGGTGCTTTCTTTCCTTGCCTGACACCTGGGAAGATCTGGAAGGTTTGGGGGGGGGGAAGGGAGGTTCCCCCTTTGAAGGACTTGCCCAGCAGGGTTAACCCCATTTCTGGGTCTGGGCAGTACATTAAACCGTTAAGGCCACCTGGCAACTCTGGCCACTCTCCCCACCAGGCAGGTAGGAAGGGCTGGGCAGTCAGTCACCAGATGGACAAGGGATGGAGGCCTGATCCACTGCAGCCTTGCTGGAATCCCTTTTCT